TTTTTTTCCAATCCAAGAACATGGTATATCTTTCCTTTTGTTTATGTCATCTTCAATTTCTTTCATCAGTGTCATAATTTTCTGAGTACAGGTTCTCTGCCTCCTTAGGTAGCCTTTTTCCTAGGAATTTTATTCTTTCTGATGAGATGGTAAATGGAATTGTTTCCTTAATTTATTTTTCTGCTATTGTGTTGTTAGTACATAGAAATGCAACTAATTCCTGTATATTAGTTTTGTATCCTGCAACTTAACCAGAATCATGAATGAGCTCTAACAGTTTTCTGGCAGTGTCTTTAGGATTTTCTATGTATAGTATCATGTCATCTGCAAACAGTGACAGATTCATTTCTTCTTTTCCAATTTGGATTCCTTCTATTTCTTTTTCTTTTTGATTGCTGTGGCTAGGACTTCCAAAACTATGTTGGGTAAGAGTGGCAAGAGTGGGCATCCTTGTCTTGTTCCTTATCTTAGGGGAAATGCTTTCAGCTTTTTCACTATTAAGTATGGTGTTAGCTGTGAGTGAATTCCTTTACTTTTGTGTTTGGATTCCTTTCTCTTTACTTTTTTGTATATCCATTGTTAAGTGTTTTTGATTTGTGGTTACCAGGAGGTATGTGTATGTATCTGTGCATGTATGTGTATGCAGCCCATTATTGTAAGCTGATAGCCTAAGTTTGAAGGCATTCTAAAAGCACTATGTTTTGTTCTTTCCCTTCAGCATGCTTCTGAAGATCCTGTTGTCACCATGGGCTGCACCTCCCACTACCCAGTGTTACCAGTATTGTAAGAACAAATCCTACCCAGAGTCTTGCTTGTGCCAAGGTGACCCTGATGCCAAGATCCACATCTTTCACCTGGGGTGGAAGAAGGCAAAAGTGGGTAAGTTTCCACTCTGTGGTCACATGGTGTCAGAGAAGTATGAACAGCTCTCCACTGGAGCCTTGGAGGTTGCCCATATTTGTGCCAACAAGTACATAGTGAAACACTGTGACAAATGTGGCTCTTTCAGCAAAATACAGCTCCACCCCTTCTGTCAACTGCATCAACAAGATGTTGTCCTGTGCTGGGGTTAAGTTCCAAACAGGTATGTGGGGTGCCTTTGGAAAGCCCCAGGGCACAGTGGCAACAGTCCACACTGGCCAAGTCATCATGTCCATCTATACAAACTGAAGAACAAGGAGCATGTGACTGAGGTCTGCAAGATCAAGTACATCCCTAATCATGGCCCCCTGGACAAATGGCAGGCCTGCATCATGAGAGCCTTGGCATTGTCCACTCCTTACTCATGCCCATGAATAAATCCTACTTCCTGGTTAATCAGTTAATTAATCAAAGCATTACATGTTCACTTGCATATTTTATGTTTCTGCTGTCATGTATCTTTTTGTTTTCTGTATCCCTTAACTACTTACTTAGTTACAGCTGATTTTTACTAATTTTGTCTTTTAACCTTCATACTAGCTTCTTTAAGTAGCTGATCCACTTCCTTTACTATATGTTTACTTTCACCAGTGATTTTTTTTCATTTCATATATTTTCTTAGTGCTAGATGTGTCCTTTTCTTTTTTACTTAAAGATGACCATTTAATATTTCTTGTAAGGCCAGTTTATTGGTGATGAACTCCTTTAGTTTTTGCTTGTCTGGGAAACTCTCTCTCCTTCAATTCTGAATGATAACCTTATCAGGTAGAGTATTCTTCATTTTTTTCCCTTCAGCACTTTAAATATATCATGGCATTCCCTTCTGGCCTGCTACGTTTCTTCTGAAAAATCAGCTGATAGGCTTATATGTTTTCCCTTGTATATGATTAGGTGTTTTTTTCTTGCTGCCTTTAAAATTTTCTCTTTAACTTTTGACATTTTAGTCATGATATGTCTTGGTATGGGTCTCTTTGGGTTCATCTTGTTTGCAATCTCTGTGCTTCCTGTACCTGGATGTCTGTTTCCTTCCCCAGGTAGGGATGTTTCCCGCCATTATTTCTTCAAATAAGTTTTCTGTCCCTTTGTTCCTATCTTTTCCTTCTGGGACCCCTGTAATGTGAGTATTAGTATGGTTGATATTGTCCCAGAGGTCCCTTAAACTCTCATTTTAAAAAAATCTTTCTTCTTGTTGCTGTTCTTATGTGGTGATTTCTACTATTTTATCTACCAGATTGCTGATCTGTTCTCTATCATCTAATCTGCTTCTGATTCCCTCTAGTTTATTTTTTATTTCAGTTACTGTATTGAGTTGATTGGTTTTTTCTTATATTTTCTAAGTCTTTGTTGTAGTACTCACTGAGTTCCTCCAATCTTCTCCCAGGTTTGGAGAGCACTCTTATGACTATTTCTTTGAACTCTTCTATCAGGTAAACTACTTATCTCTGTTTCATTAGGGATTTTTTTCTGGGGTTTTGTTTTCTTCTTTCATTTGGAACATATTTCTCTATTTTGTTACTTTGTTTGACTCTTCTTTTTTGTTTCTGTAAATTAGGTGAAACAGCTACCTCTACTGATCTTTAAGAAGTAGTCTTCTGTGGAGGCATCCCCTGTGTAGACTGCTTGTGCCTAGAGGCATTAGCAGGCTGGTTGGGGCTGGACTGGGCATCAGCTGGGGTTAATCCTTGGGGAGCACTATGCCCAAGGCTTCCTTGGTGGGGCTGTGGAGCATGGAACAAGCCCAGTCCAAGGGCAGCCTCTTGGGGAGTACTGCGCCTAGCACTGCCTAGGTAAAATGGCCGGAGAGGACCTGGTCCGGGGGTCAGTCCCTGGAGTGTTGTGCTACAGGCCACCTTGATTGGGCAGCTGGAGCTGGAGCACATATGGCCCAGGAGGAGTCCAGTGGGAACTCCAAACAATGGCAATTACCTCAGCTCCCTATCATTTTGGCAGAAACTCTAGGGTTAGTAAATGGACTTCCTTTACATAATAATCTAGATAGCTTTAAAGTTTTTCTGCTATGTCCCATGGTGAGTACGTCTGCATTTAGGTCCCTCAGTAATATATCTCCCTACTGTAGATCACCATGAAAGAAGAGGGGTTCCCATGGATACCATGCTTCTGACTTTCCTACTGGTTTTTATGTGGTCCTTCTATTAGCAGAACCACGTCATGCAGCCTTCAGGTCTTCTTCAAGAGGAAATGCTCTATACATAAATATAGATTGGTGTGCTCATGGGGGGAGGTGAGCAAAGGGTCTTCCTATGCTGCCATCTTCCCGAGTCTACTCTCTCTATATTTTCAAATATAAATGCTCCCTGATAAAACTTACTCTGAAAATACAGGCATACCTCAGAAATGTAGCAGGCTGGTTCCATACCATTACAATGAAGCAATTCACATCAATTTTTTTGGTTTCCCAATACATATAAAAGTTATGTTTATACTATATGGTAGCCTATTAAGTGTGCAATGGCATTATGTCTGAAAATAGCAATGTACATACCTTAATTAAAAAATACTTTATTGCTAAAAAATGCTAATCTTCATCCCCCTGAAACAAGTCATAGTCTTTCTGCTGGTGAAGGGTCTTGCCTCAATGTTGATTGCTGACTCTTCAGGGTGGTGGTGGTTGACAATTGGGGTGACTATGGCAATTTCTTAAAATAAGCAACAATGAAGTGTGCTAAATCAACTGGCTCTTCCTTTCACAAACAATCTCTCTGTAGCATGTAGTGCTATGTGATGGCATTTTATCCATGGTAGAACATCTTTCAAAATTGGAGTCAGTCATCTCAAACCCTTCCACTGCTTTAGCAACCAAGTTTACATAATGTTCTAAATCCTTTGTCATCATTTCCACAATCTTCACAGCATCTTCACGAGGAGCAGATTCCATCTCAAGAAGCCACTGTCTTTGCTCATCCCTAAGAAGCAACTCCTCGTCCATTAAAGTTTATCATGAGATTGCAGCAATTCAGTCACATCTTCAGGTTCTACTTCTAATTCTACTTCTCTTGCTATTTCCACCACATCTGCGTTGACTTCCTCCACTTAAGACTTGAACTCCTCAAAGTCATCCATGAAGGTTGGAATCAACTTCTTCCCAACTCCTATTAATGTTGATATTTTGACCTCTTCCCATGAATCATGGATGTTCTTAATGGCATCTAGAATGGGGAATCCTTCCCAAGAAGTTTCCAATTAACCTCTCCCAGATCCATCAGAGGACTCACTATCTATGACAGCTGTAGCCTTTCAAAATGTGCTTCTTGAATAAGTAAGACTTGAAAGTCAAAATGACCCCTTGATCCTAATATACGTTGTGTTAGCAGGCTTGAAAACAGCATTAATCTCATTGTTCATCTCCATCAGAGGTTCTTGGGTGACCAGATGCATTGTCAATGAGCAGTAATATTTTGAAAGGGATCTTTTTTCTGACCAGCAGGTCTCAGCAGTGGGCTTATAATATTCAGCAAACCATGTTGTAAACAGATGTGCTGTTATCCAGGCTTTGTTGTTCCATTTACAGAGCACAGGCAGAGTGGATTTAGCATAATTCTTAAGGGCCCTAGGATTATCAGAATGGTCAATGAGCATTGACCATTCAAATTTGAAGTCATCAGCTACATTAGCCCCTAATAAGAGAGTTAGCCTGTCCTTTGAAACTTCAACTCTCTAGCTATGAAAAGTCCTAGATAGCATTTCCTTCCAATATAAGGCTGTTCTGTCTACATTGAAAACCTGCTGTTTAGTGTAGTCACCTTTATTAAAGATCTTAGCTAGATCTACTGGATAGCTTGCTGCAGCTTCTACATGACGACTTGCTGATTCACCTTTGTGCTTTTATGTTACGGAGATGGCTTCTTTCCTTAAACTCCATGAACCAACCTCTGCTAGCATCAAACTTTTCTTTTGCAGCTTCCTCACCTCTCTCAGCCTTCACAGAATTGAAGAGAGTTAGGGCCTGGCTCTTGATTAGGCTTTGGCTTAAGGGAATGTTGTGGCTGGTTTGATCTTCTATCCTGATCACTACAACTTTCTTCAAATCAGCAGTAAGTCTATTTCACTTTCTTATCATTTGTGTGTTCTCCAGAGTAGTATTTTTAATTTCCCTCAAGAATTTTTGCTTTGAATTCACAACTTGGCTAACTGGTGCAAGAGGCCTAGTTCTGGCCTATCTTGGCTTTCAACATATCTTCCTCACTAAGCTCAGTCATTTCTAGCTTTTGATTTAAGGAAAGAGACATGCGAGTCTTCCTTTCACTTGAACACTTAGAGGCCACTGTAGGATTATTAATTGGCTTAATTTCAATATTGTTGTGTCTTAGGGAATAGGGAAATCTGAGAAGAGGGAGAGCAATGGAGGAATGGCCCGTCGATAGATCAGTCACAACAGGCACAGCATATTTATCGATTAAATTCCCCATCTTGTATGGGTGCAATCCATGGCTCCCTAAAACAATTACAATAGTAACATCAAAGGTCATTGATCAAAGATCACCACAGCAAACATAATAATAATTTAAAAGTGAAATATTCTAAGAATTACCAAAATGTGACAGACACAAAGTGAACGAACACTATTGGAAAAATGGGTGCAGATAGACTTGCTCAACACAGGGTTGCCACCAACCTTCAGTTTGTAAAAAACACAGTATCTGTGAAATGCAATAAAACAAGATATGATTGTACTGAAATAATAATAAATTCATTATTTTAAGTAGTTTATATAAAGTTATTTCTTCATCATAAAACTGTCCTAATAAAATACTAAACTAAAACGCAGAAACACGGATGCTGTAAGGTAATCTTAAGCGACTTATTCAAGATGTTGCTTCTCAAAAAATTCAGAAAGCTACTGGAAAAGAATTAAACATCAACTCTTTGCAGTAAAAATAAAATATGCAGTGGAAATCATATTATAGCTCAATTATAGCCATCTACTTATTTAATATCCATTTCAAATTCCAAGTGTAACACTTTGGACCTTTAATACTTTCTATTCAGGTTTTCTTACATTTACTGTAAGAAAGTGATTTTTTAAAGTTACATAGTACCAGATATGTGTTATGTATGTTCATATGCTATGATCTACTCAGCCTTATATAGAGTTAATCTAGATCTAAAAAACAAAAATAGGTTTTTATCATTTATTTATTCTGGAAAATGTTTCGGATAAATTATACATGTACCTAGCTGCAAAAATAAAAAATACATCCATATATGAATGACTTCTATTTGACTGCTCACAGCTAAAAGGAAATAAACATGCTACAGAAGTAGGCAAAGTGTGTCATCTGGAACCCACAGCACTCCCTGTCTGTTTTTATAGCCACCTACTCTCTGTCCCAGTTCTTTCCAACATTTTTCACATTGTGGCATATATGGAAAGTGCTAATACTTACAATAGCACACCATGAAAACTGGAAGATAAACTATTCATTTCTGGAGGTGACCCAGCTTTGTCAGACTTCAGCTATACTTTCAAGTGATGAAGGGATCAATACCTCAGCATACTTTTATATAACCCATTTAGAGCACAGGATGAGACATAGTCTACTCCCTCTCTCTCTCAACCATACTTTATGAGAAAAATTTCAACAAGAATATTTTAAGAAAATCATTCCCAGAACACATAAAGTTTAAACTATTTATTTCTAATTATGAGATGAGAGACTGAGAATTTAAGTGAAAATGCAGATCAGGAGAGCAGGGGAGGAGATAACAGGAGCTTCCTATTACCTTAATTTAATTATAACCATTTCTTTACTACTCTTTGGAAGATGAACACTGATAATAAACTGCCTTTATGGGGTAACAGGAGGAAAAAACACAGAGGGAAATTTCACAGTTTAATTTTTACTATTCCCTTGATTTCTTAGAAAACTAAGCCAGAGTCTATAGTTAGGCTGCCATCTGTCTATTCCAAGGAGGTACTGACAAGAGAAATGTTCATCGGGGAATCACCAAATTTGTTCAGCTGCAGGCCTGAGACCAGCTAAGCTTCTCTATGTACAAGATCATTCACCTAGCTGGCACCCACATCTCTCTTCTCTTCAGAGGTGGTCTACTGCTTTGCTCCATGATTCCTAAATGCCAAATATTGAGAGTCATTTACACTGCTTTGTCTTTAGATATTTGGTATTTCAAATATTCAGATATCTGTCCCCAGCATTAGAGTTCCTAAATGCCCAGTCAGGCTGCACTAGAATGATACGGAACCTCAACATTAATCTTTCAAATGTAAATATGGGCAAAGACAACTTTAGCCATTTGAAAGTTCAATGAAAGACTTTCACTGACTGTACATTCATGCACAAGAGAAAGCAAAGTAGATGATACAAACTATACCTTATACAGAGGAAACCTAAAGCAGACACTAATTACAGATTATCAAGAACTACAAAAGAAAAAGACTAAAACTAGTTTTACTGTATAAAATTAATTACAATTATAGTTGATTATGAAATGCTTCCAGTTATTTACATGTAGTTAAGTGAAAATACCATGGTGGCTTTGAAATTGGTCTGAATCCTACTTCTACCAGTCATTTATAAAAATAAAGATATAACAGCATTCCAAGGCCACTCAAGAATTAAGTTAGCTAACATATGGAGTGAAAATAATAGAGTTTAGGTACATACATGTAAAATAAATGCTAGTTTTTCTTTTTCCCTTTCCTCTTAAATACCAGAGAGAACATAATGGCTTGCTTGTAATTAAACATTTATCAAATATTTGTTGTTATCGTGTGTATCTGATTATCCTAGATGTTCACCAATTGAGGAAAGATGTTCCTTTGAGCCAACTAGTGAGGATAATTAATAACTGAAAAAAGTACTAACTTTATAATGACATATTTTTAAAATCAATGTCCATGATAAAGGCAACATTTATTAGACTCACTTTCTTCCAGCTTTAAAGAAACTGAGGGGTTGTTTCCTGTTTCATCCACATTTCCTTCACCACCTCCTCGAGATCTTGAATTCCAGACTTTAATCACTTCAACATCATTGTCACTGCCACTTCCACTTGAGCTACTATCTTTCTTCCCCTTTTTCCCCTTTGTTTTCTTCTTTCTAAAGAAAGAACAAATTGAAACTATTAGGAAAACACAGGAAAGATACAAGTGCCAATTATCAGAGGATAACCAGCAAGCATGGATTTTAAACGTGTCAACACAGGACACAAAAAGTACTCAATTTACTTTGTATAATCATCAGAGCTTAAACTCATGGAGGTTTCATCGGAATCTGAAGCTATAAATTCATCCATACTATCTTCATCAAAATATCCCTAGAGAAAAAAAAAGATGAATGTTTTAATAGCTTATAATAAACTTATACTGTAAATTATAATGATGTTTATTTCATTTAAGGATAAGTTAATTGTTATGAGATAAGGAGGAATTAAGAAACTCATAGAGTAGAAAAAAATAAAGGAGACATCACAGATATCACTATTAAATGCAATGTTAAGTCTTGGATTGAATCATGGAAAAGAAAAAGGACATAAATAAGTACAAAAACTGATGAAATCCATTTAAGGTCTACTGTTTAGTTAATAATACTGACCAATGTTAATTTCTTAGTTTTGATCATTTTACTAGAGTTACACAAGATGTTAAGATCAACATTTAATACTCCTTCTATAATCACAATGCATTCAACCATATAGAATTAACTAGAAATAAAATAGGTTGAATTACTATGCCACAAAGCCAAAGAAAATCTGAATATACAGTAAGTCTATATAGATCAGCCTTTTTCCTAAGGTTATTCTGCTTCCAACAGGTATCTTTTAATCAATTTTAGGTTAGTTGTTTTACCTTATTTTCTTTGCTAATATAGTCCAGCTGCAAACACCAAGGATGAGTCCAGATTCTACTTAACATCTGAAAATCTTGGAACAGTTTTGCACCTGCCTTTCCTCTTCCCCCTTCGCTGCTATTACCTACACCTGATCAAAAGAAAAACTAATGTTAAGACATAAGAATTCTCTAATTCAACCAAGTGTTTCTAAATTAGGGGTTTAACTTTATCTGTGCTTTGAACTCCTTTAGCCATGTAGAGAAGCTTACAGACCCTTTTTCTTAGAATATTTTGAAACATATAAACAGGATTACAAAAGAAACCTATTATATACAAATTATCAAAATATTTTTAAAAATCTGGATATAGTAATATGTGTACCTTATTAATGCATTACATTACAAAATATAGCAGTAAGTGTAACAATTACCTGAAATTTTGAAGTATTGATAAATACTTTTTAAATAATTTTGAGATACCAGTAACAACAATATATGTAGAAATATTTCTGATTTCTGTTGGTAACAAAATCAGTTATCACTAATACTACAATGGTTTTTTGTCTACATTAATAATTGGCAAAATGCTATATTCTTGTTAGAGGTTAGTGGAAACATGTAATTTATTCTTATTCGGGTTTATACACCACCCTTAAATTCTATCCATGGACTCTAGACTACAAATTCGTGTTTTAGATAAAGCCACTCTCTGGATGCAGCACTTCAGCTACTCTTTCCAACTACCCTTATACCCAAAAAAGTACTTCAAAAAATTATGTTTTTCATGTTGAAAAAATTAAGATTTCTTTTGCCCAGAGTAAATTTCAACAAAATTGTATTTTTCTATGAAAATGAAGTGAAAATGAGATGAATGCATATTTCATTAACATGAAATTATCAAGGGGGTAAAATGCAAAAGAACCAAGCTGATTTTAAAAAAGAAACAGCATTTAAGCAATAACATTTTTCTGTCAAGTTTTAAAATATGTAAATTCACTGCTAATTAGTAAGTCACCTCCATGAAGGACAAGAATAAATTCAGTAATGATATGAATTATGAATAAAAATCCATAAAAATCTAGTACTGATTATTTTGCCTGATTAGAGGTATTTCTACTGTATACAATAGAAATCATTGCTGTGAAAATGAAGTATCTAATTTCTTGATATACAACTATTCATAGTATTCCCTTATAATTCTTTTATTTCTGTAAGGTCAATAGTGATGCTCTTTCATTCATAACTTTAGTTATTTGGGGCTCCTCTGTAAGTACAGTTAAAGAGTTATCAATTAGGTTGATCTTTTCAAAGAACCAACTTCTGGTTTCAATGATTTTCTGTTTTCTTTTTCTCCTTTATACTTATTTTTGATTAGCCTTTTTTATTTCCTTCCGTCTAGTTGCTTTGGGTTTAGTTTGTTCTTAGTTTCTTAAGGTAGAAAGTTACATTATAAGTTTGAGATCTTTCTTCCTTTTTATGAGATCTTTCTTCTTTTTTAACATCAGCATTTACAGCAATAAATTTCCCTCTAAGCATCACTTTAGCCACATCCCATATTTTTGTATCTTGTGTTGTTTTCATTCATCTCTAAGTATTTTCTAATTTCCTTTGTGAAATCTTGACACATTGGTTATTTAGGAGCATATTATTTACACATATTTGTGCTTTTTCTAGCTTTCCTTCAGTTATTGGTTTGTAATTTCACCCTAACGTGGTTAAAGAAAATATTTCGTGTGGACTTCATCTTTTTATATTAATTGAGGCTTATTTTATGCTCTAAAATATAGTCTATCTTGGAGAATGTTTCATGTGCACTTGAGAACAATGTGTATTCTGCTCTTGTTAGATGAAGTGTTCTATTGATTTATAAGTGTTTTTCAAATCTATTTCCTTGTTGATCTGCCTAGCTGTTCAGAAAAAAAGTCAATTTTTGTTTTGTAGGGGGGTAAGAACCACTCTTGTACCAATCATAATCATCTTCTATTATAGAAAATTTTCATAAGACTTTTAGGCCTACCTAACTGGTTAGGGTAGAAAAGGGCAGGAAATTTTTAAAGGGGAAAAACTGATGGTTCCTCTACAGACAGTACTGATTTGTACTAGAGGTGATATTCTTTGTGGGGAATGGGAACCACATGAAAATGATATGCTAATGAGCTGGCAAAATAAATACCCACAGAAAAACATTCTCTACACAACAGAGTATTGGCAATTATTATTGAATCATTCTTTCGTAAAAAAAAAGTTTTGACTCCAAATAGCTATATTTGGAAATATAAGTACAAAAAAGAACAGGTAAATATATAATGAATTAAGCATGACAATCTGATATTTACATTTACATCTATGGTTTCTATATAAAATGTTATTATCATGGGGTCTGTGGTAAACTGAACAGCAGTCCCTCAAATATATCCACATTCAAATCTCAGGTACTCATGAATTTTATTCTATATGGCAAAAGGGACTTTGCAGATGCAATCAAGATAAAGACCCTAAAATGAAGACGACTACCCTAGATCATCTGGGTGGATCAAATGCAACCATAATGGTCCCTGTAATATAGAGGGGCTCAGAAGTGAGAATCAGAGAAGGTGATATGATGACATAATTACAATAGTAACATCAAAGATCACTGACCACAGATCACCGTAACAGATAATAACAAAAAAGTTTGAAACAGTGTGAGAATTACCAAAATGTGACACACAGATATGAAAAAGTGAACAAATGCTGTTGGAAAACTTGTGCTGACAGACTTGCTCAATGTAAGGTTGCCACAAACCTTCAATTTGTAAAAACCACAGTATCTGTGAAGTACAATTAAATGAGGTATGCCTGTATCTCATTCCGGTTTTGATTTACAGTACTTCAATGGCCAATGATATTGAGCATCATTTAGAGCAGTGGTTCTCAAGCAGAGGGTACATCAAAATCACCTAGAGGGCTTATAAATGCAGACGCCTGAGCTCTACTCCAGATCTACTGAGTCAATCTCTAAAAGTGTGGCAGTTAGACCCATTCATTTTTAGAGACAAAAGGATTATTACTGCCCTCTATGTTTAAGAGTACAATTCAGTGCCATTAAGTATAATCAAAATGTTGTGCAATCATAAGCACTCTCCATTTCTAAAACTTCTCCATCATCCTAAACAAAAACTCTGTCCCCATTAAAAATAACTGCACTCCCCCCTTCCCTAGCCTCACAACCACCTTTCTATTTTTTGTGTCTATGAATCTGACTGTTCTAGGTACTTCTAAGTGTTGTCATATAATATTTGTCCTTTTGTGTCTGGCTTATTTTGCTTAGGATTCATTTGTGTCAGAATTTTTGTTTAAGAAAGTAATATTCCATTTTGTGTGTGTATATACACACACACATATTTTGTTCATTAATTCATCAGTTGATAGACACTTGGATTGCTTCCACCTTTTTGGCTATTATGAGTAATGCTGCTATATAAACATGAGTGTGTAAGTATCTGCTTGAGTTCCTGCTTTCAATTACTTTGAAAGTGGAATTTTACCTAAAAGTGGAATTGCTGGATCATAGGGTAATTCTATATTTAACTCTTGGAGGACCTGCCATATTATTTTTTCCACAGCAGGTGCACCATTTTACACTCCCACCAGCAATGCACAAGGATTCTAATTTCTCCATATCGTTGCAAACACTTCTTATCCTTCTTTACCTGATAGTCATCCTATTGGATGTGAAGTGGTATTTCTTGGTTTTGATTTGCATTTCCCAAATAACTGGTGATAATCTAGAGCAATCTTTTAATGTGCTTATTGGCCATCTGTATATTTTCCTTGGAGAAGTGTCTACTAAAATCCTTTGATCATTTTTGAATTGGGTTGTTAGGGCTTTTTTGTCATCCAATTATAGAAGTTCTTTATATATTCTTAATGTTAATGTTTACAAATATTTTTCTCCCATTCTGTGGATTGTCTTTTTAATGTGCTGCATTTTTCATGTCTTAAGACAATGTATAGATTTTAATACTGATTTAAGCTTAAAATTAGGCTGTTTTAAAACTAAGTATCCACACTTGTAAAACCTAAAGTGTTTACCGAAGGCAGAGGCTTACATGTAAATGTAAACTGATACCCGATGGTAAAAGGAAGACTGCAGAATTATATTTAAAAAGGAGAGAACAAAGGAAAATTAGGAGGAAATTAATTTTCTTGAAATTCATTAAATGTAGTACTTATGACCTTAATTCTGCAAATATTAAACACATTATAAATTATCGCCACTAAAATTAACATTGAATTAAAAAAATAAATAAATAAAATTAACATTGAATTGTTGCTAGTATTAAAAGCAAAATTTAAGTAAACTTCTTAAAGCCAAGTTGAATATAAAAAGAGTCAAATACAGAAACAAAGAACGTTTGTAATATGTAATACATTAAATACCAAAAATTCTAAATGCAAGTGAGATAGGTGGGTGACATTCCGGGAGAAATACTGTGATGGTTTGCACTGAGAATCAATACAGAGTAGCCTTTAATTTAACCCATTTGGCCTTTTATGGAAGTTTTTTCAAGGAGGCTATTAACTCTGGTTATTCTATTTTAAGGAAAATAAAACATCACATTTAGTAGGGGGAAAACCCAATACCTTCTCATGACTGAAAGATTCATGGCACCAGATGATAATTTAACAATCATACCTTTCAGAGTTTAGAAGCTTTGGCAATTTAGTACTTTAGATATTTACTCCTATTAAAGTCACACTGAGGCCCCCTTAATTCTTAAATACTGCACTGTTCTCAAAAGAGTACATTTTAATATCTATACATGAGCTATTAACATTTTGTTGTTATTAAAGACAACTGATTCTCTAATATTTGAAAACAGCTAGCATTTTCTCTAAGATAAAACAAAATTTTAAATGGAGAAAATATCAAATGATCAAATTTAGTACCCTATATTACTAAGATTAATGAAAGACAGGTCTGGACATCCCTCTTAAACTACACAGTAACTCTCATTGGAATGACTATATTTGGTTACTTAGTTATCACTGCAATTTTTGTTATTCAAAACAAGATGATATAGGGGGAAGGTACAGCTCAGGGGTAGAGCACGTGCTTAGCATGTATGAGGTCCTGGGTTCAATTCCCAGTGCCTCCATTAAAAAAATAAATAAATAGATAAATAAATCTAATTACCCCAAAAAAAACCCAAAAATTAAAAAAAAAAACAGGATGGTACAATAGATCCAACAGCTTATGACTGACAGACAAATGAAAATGTGTGTCTTATTAGAAATGATCTTCCAAAAGTCAGTAGAAAAATTGTTTTTATAATATAGCAAAAAAGCATTTCTATACAATATAAAAATTCAAATCCTGTTTTCCCCAAAGCAGAACAATAAAGACCATCATCATTATTCTACTTTCTAAAATATACTGTTATAAAGAGTATTACTTTAATTACTGATATGATATGAAGTATCATTTTAACATGTATGTATACAACTCAACCCTTCATTATTTTTTGATCAATTATTGTATCCACAATGGCTGAAGGGTACCTTCTAGCCTGTATCCCCTAAATAAATCTGGCACATCACTTGGGAAAAGGTGCCAGAATAACGTGACCAATAAGTAAAAAATCTCATGTCAGACCAAATGGAGATTAAGGTTTTGTTCTGAGAACAGTGACAACTGCAAGCACATAAAACATACAAACACACGAGTTTACTGATGATGAAACAATACCTAATCACTATTTTTTAAAAAAACATAGAAAAGAGTAAGAAGTAAACTAACAAAGTTAGTTTAATGAAATCATAATGAAATCATCCAGAAAATAATCTGTTATTAACATTTCTGTGTATTTTATGCATTTGTGTTTATGTTTACTGAAACACTGGGAGTATAATATATGCCATGCCTTATATTTTGCCTTTTTTTCCTTCAACCTTCGTCAATTTGATACCTAAGAAATGATTTCACAGATTCGATTTACATGTCTTTCATTATTAATGTGGTTAGGTTAATATTTTTAATAATACACTGGAATTTTATGTATCTTCTTTTATGGATTTATTCACATATATAATATTTCTGAAATAAAGGCTCTTTACAAATTAAGGCATTAATGACATACGCCATCTATTTCTTCTCATCAGTTTGTTTCATAATTTTATTTTGAGAATATTAGGGTTTTTTTAAGTAGAAATATTTTGTGCCTTTACAAAATAAGCATACTCATTTTACTCAAATGCAAAATTGCAAAAGAGCAACTGACATGGTAAAATTACCAAGATAGCATTCTTCAGAAAAAGAATGTCTTAAGAGAGAAATTAAAAACAAACAACTCAGTGTATTTGTTACCTGTTAAGTGATCTAAGTAGTACTGATAGAGTTTACACTGAATAGGAGTCATTCTCACAGCTAACACATATTCATGTTTTGGAGGCAAGAACTTTGTTAATGCTGTATAATCTTTCCTCTGTAATTAATAAGAAAAACAATGAAAATTAGTTAACCTAAATACATGACAGTAATTAACTGCGCTAAGAATTATCATTGCTTGCAACTAAAATTACACTTAAAATGAATAGGTAAGAAAACATTTACTTAATCATGTTTACCCTCTTTAATCATACAATGATCCCATATAATTGTAGTTAATGTATTTCATCTGACTATGCAATATGATGCACTGGTAAAAAAAAAAAATTGCAACACCCCAAGGAGGTATTAAATTGAAGTGGCTAAATTACCAAGTGAGCAATTTAGGGTTCCAAATGATCTCCATTATACAGAAAGAAAAGAAGAAAAGAAAGAAAAGAAAAGAAAAGAAAAGAAAAGAAAAGAAAAGAAAAGAAAAGAAAAGAAAAGAAAAGAAAAGAAAAGAAAAGAAAGAAAAGAAAAGAAAAGAAAAGAAAAGAAAAGAAAAGAAAAGAAAAGAAAAGAAAAGAAAAGAAAGGCGGGGAGGGGATATAGTAAGTAGTGCTGGCAAAAAGAATTGCTTTAATTATACAGTAAAACCAATGTATCAAAGTCTGATGTAGTCTGGGTTATCCTTTGGGTAAGATGTGCCAATAAGAGGATAACACATAACTTGAGGCAGAATGTATGACCAATCTGAACAAACAGGGGACTTTACCTTATATAATGGTAGTATATCTAGCCAAAAGGACAGCCTATCTCATTTGTTACAACATCTTTGTTGCTACCTTAGTATCTAGTACCTTAAGAAAAAGTGCAGAACTGAGACTATTAACTGCTTAGTCTCTACATACTTATCTACTTATTAACAAAGGTTTATTGAAGATCTTTATGTAAACAACACTATTATTTACCTTACTGTATGTACTTGAAATCAGTAAAACTGCTTCTTCAGGATTACTTTCATACTCCCTATCTTAAGGATGAGAAAATCTAAACATTAACACACTACCATATGAAGCCCTACACCTGGCAAATGAATTAATCAATTATGTTCCAAACTTTTTTTAAGTTCAATGTTGTATAAACTTTGGAAGAGAGTGCAAGGAGATTTAATTGTAAAACTATATACTGAAAGAAGAAGACAGAAAACACAAAATTAAGTTTAAATTCAGAAAACATTTTGCAATTGCAACATAACAAATTAACAATATTTTATTACTATGGAATGTACTTGTACCTGAACACATCCAGCTAACATCTCATAGAGAATGTGAGCACGTTTTTTCATCACTCTGACATCTACCATGGTAGAATCTGCACACTGACCATTTTGGATTGGATTTATAAATCGATTCCTGAACTCCTTAATGGATCCAAGCAAATTTTCTTTGATAAAGTTAACCATGCAATGATCTAAGAAAGAAGATATTAGTTCATTAACAACAGTAATGGCTAAAAGAACTGAAAAAAATTCTCTGATAAAATCCTCATGTCAAAAAGGCATGCCATGGAAGCATGAGAATTAAGCTACAAAGGAAAAACACCAAACTGAGTGTGTATAAACACTGGTTATAAGTCTGATACAGAACTGGATTACCTAAACCAGACGAGAAATTTCAAATAAAACTCATCCCTAAATTCTAGGCATGAATGTTTAAAAACATACCTAAGAACATTTTATTCTAACTCACTATTCTTTATAATAGATATGGAGTGGAAAACAAGTGCTCTATAATCCTATCCATGATTTTATTGTCAGCAGGGTAGGGTATCTTGTGTAAAAAAAAAAAATCAAAATAATAAAATCAGGTAATAAGCTACTATATCACATTTTGTGTTAACTGGTTTACTTTGAAAGTCCTTAACAGAGCTATCAATTGCCTTAATTATATAGGACCACAATGTGAAATAGGGTAACACTCTATAAATGGAGCAACAGAAAAAGGGGAGACATGAACAGACAAAAATAAAGATAAAACATAGATATATACTATAGATAAATGTAAACAAAGTAAAACAATAACCAGTATTACAAGTAATAAAACAGAAAACAGTTACTATGAATATACTAAAGGAAAAGAAATAACATAAAAATAACAAAAAGCCATTAGAATGAATTACAATGGGAAATTTCAATTTGTGATTTGCCAAATAACTCATGTTCCTCTTTAGTGTAACCACACATATATGAAAATGAGGGAAATTCACAAGTCACTTCCCTGGGTTTACATCATCTGTCCTGAGCCTCAGCAAACTGTATCCTTACAATTCAACACAGCTCTCCTCCTCCAATCTCCACCTTTCTAAAATTTTCAGGCTTAGCATTTCTTTTCAATTTTCTATCAGTACATCCCACAAAACAGATATATTTTGTTATAGTATCTCCTGAATAGTCACAAACGTATGTGTACTTTTAAATCAATCATTAAGATTTCTGATACTTTTTATATATTTTAAATTTTCTATTTATAGTTGAACACTCAAAACGGCACACTTCTTGACTCTGGTTTACCTTTCCACTTGAAATGGATGGTATTCTTTCACAGTAGACTAACATGAACCTATGTAGATCATAGTCAGAGACTATACTAGAATAAACAGAAGAGAAGCAGATGGCAAAGTGGCAAAAAATATATTGGAGACAATGCCAATACTCTATAGCATAACTATAGATATTGACTCACACTCAATTAGGTTATTTTGAAGTGGTGTTCCTGTTAAAATAATTCTCCTCCTTGATCGTATAGAATTCATAGCTTTTGAAACAGCAGATGCTTCATTTTTTAGAATATGGCCTTCATCACAAACAACAAAGTCAGGGCCTAGAAAAACAACATTTAATTAATATATAATAAAATTAAAAATATAATCCATTTAAGTTAATCATTTTACAATGCTGCTCTTGTGGGAAGATAAAAGAACAGTTATATTTTATCTGTTGCTGTATTTGGTTAATGTGGCACTAACTAGGATTAATTTCATCCCAACAGTAGAGTATTAAAGTACTACTGTGGATGATACTTAAGGTCCTCTGAATGAGAACAAAAATAGGCAAGAATAAAAGTAATCACAAGGATGAAAAGATCCCAGCAGATCTGGGATATTAAAAAAAATGTATTTTATAAATGAAAAACAGTATCTAGAGATAAATTTTAGCACTAGTGCACCAAGTTAAAACTACTGCCTAAGACCAAGAGCAATTTATATATATATGACATATTTCAAAAGTTATATTTTAAGAAATAATATATAAATCACAATATGCCATGCAGTATTTCCTATTTCACTTTTTCCAAATAACTAATACTCATTGCTGGGGAAAAAACTGACTGATAAAGTACAGCTAAACTGATTGCTACATGGGTACGGGTATTCAGGAGAACACTTTACAAGCTATAAAAGATCTCACCGCTCAGAGTGACTCTTCCAAAAGAAATAGATAAGCTTATTTTATTAAAATAACACATGTATTCTTTGCTAAAGTATCTCATAAACACAATTTGCTTGCTGGTTAACATACACCCAAATTACTTAAATACTGATTTAAGACAAAAGAAGTTGTCAAACTATCCCCTATATGTTAGGCATTGAAGAAAATACATCTTCTACATGATTTCAAAAGTAAAACTTCAGTATGATTGATAAAATAATACAATTGTTATTCACTATTCACATGGGGCTACACAAGTAGTAAGACATTTTTAAATTACTAACCTCTTTCTAAAAACTAAAATCTGTATCTTGCTTTGTATGTAAAGACTATATATTGTTTATTTTGAATCCTAAGAAGTTTTCTAAAGAGAAAATTAACTTTTACACAAGTGATTTAAATGATTTCCACCACCTAATATTCACTATTCATGAGGATGTGGTGAAGTAAGTATTCTCTTATACTCTTTGTGGGAGTCTAAATTACCATCAGACATTTAAGAAAACAATTTTACAGTTACCTATTAAATGCAAAACGTGTGCTCCCTTGACCCAAATTTCAATTTCTGGGATTTTATCTTAAAGCTATACTTCCACAAGTACTTAAAGATACATAAAATATTCTCTGAAACATTGTTACAGTGGAAAATTACAAACTTTAAAGCTTGTCAAAGGGGGTTAATAAAACTATGCTATAATGAATGTCACAGAACTAAAATTAATGATGTAGATCTCTATGTATTAACCTTGAAAGATATGCCAAAAATATATTTTATACTATTAAACAAAAAGAAGTTGCAGAATCTATATTATGATCCCATTTGTATTTAAACCACCACAGAGTGATTTTATCTATGTATACATATATGTAGTGAAGTAAAGAATTATTCCTGCACAAAGAAAAGTTTAGCCTTTGCCTCCAGCTCTAGGGAGGTAACCTCTAAATTCCTGGAATGTCCTAGTGAATAAAAATATCTTTTTTTACCCGGATGGCTTGGGACACACCACGATAATCTATGCTAACGATGTGATTGACGGTGGGGGGGAAAGTGGTTTTGGGTCACATGGCACCTTCTCAACTTCCAGAGGGGCTAGAGACTAAGACTACCCATAGGGATGGTCAACCATGTCTATGTGACAAAGCCCAAACTCTAGACACCAAGGTTCATATGAGTGTGCCTGGTTGGCAATACTCCATAAGTACTGTCACATATCATTTCTGGGAGAAATAGGTGCTATCTGTACAATTCCACTAACAGACTGCGCTTGGAACTCTCCTGTGGCCTGCCTTATGTGCCTTTTCCTGTTGCTGACTTTAATTTGTATCCTTGCACTGTAATAAACCATAACCATGAGTATAACAGCTTTTCTGAGTTCTGTGAATCCTAGTGAATTACTGAACCTGAGGGTGGCCTTGGGAACATTCAAACATTGCAATATAAAATACATACTTTAAAAAAAACCAATATGATTAAAAATTGGGCAGAGATATGAACAGACATTTTTCGAAAAAAGACAAACAAATGTGCAACAGGTATATGAAAAGCTCCTTGACATCACTAAGTATCAGGAAAATGCAAATCAAAACCATAATGAGATATCACCTCACACTTGTTAGAATGGCTATTATTTAAAAAAAAACAAGAGATAAGTGTTGTTGAGGATGTGGAGAGAGGGGAACCCTTGTGCACTGTTGGTGAGAATATAAATTAGTGCAGCCACTCTGGAAAACAGTACAGAAATTCTTCAGAAAACTAAAAATAGAACTACCATGTCGTCCAGAAATTCCACTCCTGGGTATATTATGGAAAAAATGAACACTAATTCAAAAAGATACATGCATCCCAATGTTCACAGCAGCACTGTTTACAACAGCCAAGATATGGAAGCAAACCAAGGGTCAACAAATGAATAGTTAAAGATGTCACATCCATGTATGTGTACAGACACACACACACACACACACACACGGATATTAGCCATCAAGAATGAAATTCTACTATTTGCAGAAACATGGATGGACCCAGAGAGTATTATCTTTAGTGAAAAAAATTAGAAAAAGAAAAATACTATATGACATCATTTACATGAGATCTAAAAAACAAAACAAATGAATCTATATAGCAAAAGAAAAATAATCAGATACGGAAAACAAACTAGTGGTTACCAGTGGTGGGGGGGGCAATATAGGGGTATGGGATTAAGACAAACTACTATGTATAAAACAGATCAGCAACAAGGATATACTGTATAGCACAGGGAATCAAAGTCATTATCTTGTAATAAATTTTAATGGAATATAATCTGTAAAAATATCGAATCACTATGCGATACATCTAAAACTAATACAATGTTATAAATCAACCATACATCAATTTTTTAAAAATTAAACTCTACATTACAAAAAACAAACTTTAATGTATGCAAATAACAAAGAAATTGACCTAAGCAATGTTAGAAAATGATGTTTGGAAGTTATAAAGCTAAAAGCAATCATATATAAGCACTACAGGGGTACAGGTTAACAATCCTGAAACTACTTTACATATATAATGAGGCTGAACTAGGAAGTAAATGGATGGTGGATGGTTGGAGCCAAGATTCTCACTGTTGGAAATGCAAGTAACAGAATAACAAAAAAAGACTAAAATGAACCCTATGATACAGAATTAATCAAAAATTCATGTTTATCTTAATAAACAGATACACAAATGGATAGATCTGTGTATACTTGGATATGGTACACATATCAGCTACTTCTGTCTGCTGAGAGAACCTAGAAGCAATGACACTCCAGTAGCAATAAACACACTGAGTGCCCAGATCTTGGTTTGTAAACACCATTTTTCAGTGAAAGGAACCAGACATGGCTCCTTGTTGAAACAGCTGATTCTAGGGCAAGGACAATGTAACATGATCCTAAAGCACCTTACAGTACCAGAAAGTAATGAAGTACTCAAAAAAAAATCAAAAGGATGAAATATCAAAGGGATACAGGGACCAACCTGAAAGAGCTTCCAATGGCCCAAACTAGAACAATTTGAACAACAAAATAAGCTAACATCAGTGATTATACTGATATAAATCAATGACTGATTAAATAAATGGATAAGAAAGGATAAACGTTAAAAAAAATCCAAATTTAAGTGTAGATACTGCCCACTACAGGAGATAAAGCTTAATTTCTGTCCTTCCTCAAGTTGGATAGGCCAGACTTAGTGACTGGCTTCCAAAGAACAGAAAAGTGAAAATAGTAACTCTATAGTAGAAAAACCTGGCAAATACTATCTTAACCAAGAGATAAAAGTTAACACCAGTAGTCATATCATGTGGATCTAATATACCCCTGATATAATGTGAAGAGAAGGGTACTACACCTCTGGTATATTGTTTCAAAGACCTATAACCCCAGACTAATCACAAGAAAAACAACAAACAGAATAGGGAAGATTCTTCAGGATACCTGAACAGTTAACTCCCCAAGACTGACAAGGTAACAGAACATAAAAGACTAAGAAACTATCATAGACAAGAGGAGACCTTGGAGACATGACAATTCAATGGAATGTGGGATCCTGGAACAGAAACTAGACAGTAATATTAAACTGGAGTTTTGTTAACAATGTATCAATTTCTTAGTTTCAACAAATCTACCATGGTGATGGAAGATGGAAGCACGGGGGATTTGGGTACAGAGTAAATGGGAGCTTTCTTTCCTACCATTTCAACTAAAAAATCTCCACCCCAAAAAGTTTTTCTAGATGTTACTTAATGACTTACATGGAAATAACAAATGTCACTCTTCATGTTATGAGCTTTAATTTCTTTTTATTGTATTTCCTCATGAACAAATCACCACATTAAGAATCAGAAATTTATTTTAAACTCGCAAGGAAATCTTCTGAAAAACATGCTACCTTACCATTCACTAGCTTATAGTTCTCTGACAACAAAGCAATCATAGGACTTTTGGACAACTATTTTAACTGTGGGAAAAAGACAAATTTATTATTAAGCCTTAAGATGTACAATGGCAGTTACTTTGGTACATGCTAATTACATTATTATCATAAAAGAGGCAAAAGGGGACAAACTTTCAGTTTTAAGATGAATAAGGTCTGAGGATCTAGTGTATAAATAAATAACATGGTAATAACACGGTGACTGTAGCTGATAATACTGTATTGTTTAACTGAAATCCGCTAAAAGAGCAGAGGATAAATGTTCTGATCAAAAAATAAAAAAATAAAACCATGTGAAGTAATGGATGGGTAAAGGAGGTAATCATTCAATAACGTATACATACATCAAATCATCACATTGTACGTTTTAAGTTTGTTACAATTTTACTTCTCAATTATACCTCAATAAAGCTGAAAAAAAGTAAGTTAAA